TCAATGATGTTTTTTTTTGTCTTAATTGTGACATACCTACTTTCTCATTTTTGTTAGTTATCTGACTTAGTCATTTAATATCCAAATCAGTGTAAAGGTGATAAATATCCCCGTTTTAAGGGTATGATCAGTTCAATTGTTATTAATTTTTATTTCATATTTTTCAGGTGCAGAAAAGCCAACTGAGACTGAGGGTGCTATTATTACTGTAATTTATTACATAATGTAATTAAGACTTTGTATCTTTTATATTAAAACAATAAATTAAATATTTTATTAAGGAACATTTTTTTCTAGGTTATAATTATAATAATTATGGAATACTACTACAAGTTTTATTAAAAATTACTACAATTTGTATGAATTTTTACTATTTATTGTGTAAAATTTTCGTATTTATTTTCATAAAACGCAATACATTTTTAATATAAATTCATACAATGAATAGCAAAAATTATAACAATTTGTAGAACAATTCTTATGATGCATTTAGATATTTTTACTAAATATTGTAGATAATAACTCTACAATACATTCTCCACAAATATTTGGAAATGTTTACTACAAATTGTCCCTGTCCCTATATGTACTATTTATTGTAGAGAAAAAATCTATAATTGTAGAAATTTGTTCTACAATTTTTTTCCGTGTACTGTTAAAAGGTTAAATAATAGTCCAGTCATTTAAGCTTAAATTAGGTAAGAATCTCGGAACTGGAGATACCCAGCTGTAAGTCTGTAAATACTTGTATATTGACACGCTAAAAGTTATTTCAAAACCTACATATGGTAGGGTGTACGCAACTATTAAATTTCAAGGTCAAATGTCACAAAAATCGGTTTTTTGCGCTTTTTTGTAAATATCTCATTTTTTATGGGTTTTTTGCTATTTGTATTTATTATCAATATTGTAGAATACAAAATTCTCTACAAATTTTGTTTAAAAAAATTCAGATTACAGTAAGAACGTAAAAGCTATGGAGCAGCAGAGAAGATGAAACAATAGTTGTACCAGTTACTCAAGAAAAATTCTTATCAAATCGAAATAACAAAGATATGCTCATTAATATGTTAATTGAAAAATTACAAGCTGCAAATATTACTACTAAACAAGCCAGAGATAATGCTGATGTTCTTATTGTTGAAACTGCAATTGAAGAATCAAATTCTGAAAAAACTGCAGTTATAATAGGACAAGATATTGATTTACTTGTCATTTTAATTGGGCGTACACTGTCTTACGAACAAGACATTTTCTTTAAAAAAGTTGGGAAAGGAAATGTAAAAACGGGGATATACTTGACTAAAAGTTTTGATAATTATCCTCATTCCAAAACACATATTTTATTTCTGCACGCATTAAGTGGCTGTGACACAACTTCTGCGCTTTTTAAAAAGGGAAAAAATCATTTTTTAAAGTTTTTGAGAAACTGACAAATTTGAATGAACTAGCTGCAGCATTTGAGAAAGAAAATTGTTCGGCCCAGAGATTATTAGAGAGTGGAACTCAAATCTTATTGACAGTCTATAATGCTCCGAAATCTATGAAAAGTCTCGATCATCTTCGTTATATGCATTACGTCAAGTCTACAAAACTTAATTAACCTGTGCAGCTTTCAAATATTCCACCAACAAAAGCAGCTGCTCATCAACCTTTCAAACGTGTATATTATTAAGTTCAAACTTGGTTAAGGCATGATTTGGAACCCCAGGTATGGAGTTGGGCAATGCGAAACGATTTTCTGGAGCCTATCATGACAATTTTACCACCTGCTCCAGAAGATTTGCTAAATACAATTTTCTGCAACTGCAAGAGTGGTTGTGGTTCGCGATGCTGATGCAGGAAAGCGGGCTTGCAATGCTCTTTAGCTTGTGGCCAATGTAATGGGCAAGCTTGTTTCAATGCTCTACCATATCAGAGCGACATTAACGAAGATGGAACCTTTGACCCCGAAATCATGGAAGAACTTGAGAGAAATGTCGTTGAAGACGATAATGAAGACCAGTTTGAAATTTACCAGCAGCCGGAAGACGACGATGAAGAGGAAGAAGATTATTAAAATTATAAATTGTAGTTTTTGTACCTTTTATTCCATTTTTTTACTTTTAATAAAAATAAATGTATTGAATGAAATTTTTTAATAAAAAGATTAATTCATAATTTATTTGTTTTTTTTTTCATCATGTAAGAATTTATTAATATTAATTAGGTTAAAATTCAAATATAATTCCTATATTTTCATTAACAATTTTGCAACTACATGGGCAGGTAAGTGTTGTTAAATAAATTAATACTAAATAAAAAGTGGATAGGTTAGGAAAAAAAATGATAAAATATAATATAATAGTTAATAAAAATTGACAAATATTTATAATCATTGATTTATCGATATTTCATCAACTATATATGGCGCGTTTTCGACCGGAGGCACCGGTTGACCTGAAGTGATGCTGTGACCGCGCGCTCTCCGTCATCTATCTCGAAAACGGTTTACCGTATGAAAAATTTTTTTAAACAAAATTTTTAGAGAATTTTGTATTCTACAATATTGATAATAAATACAAATAGCAAAAAACCCATAGGAAATGAGATATTTACAAAAAAAAGCGCAAAAAAACCGATTTTTGTGACCTTTGACCTTGAAATTTAATAGATGCGTACACCCTACTATATGTAGGTTTTGAGACAACTTTTAGGGTGTCAATATACAAGTATTTACAGACTTACAGCTGGGTATCTCGAATTCCGAGGTGAACTTACTATAATGATTGGACTATAATAAAATTAAGGAAGATTTAGATATCCACATATCAGAAACTTCAATAAGAAGAGTCCTAAAAAAATTACGAATTTAAGTGGAGAAAAACACAAAATAATCGTAAAGTTTTGGTGGAAAAAATGAAAATAAGAACTTTAAGAGTAAAATATTTGAGACAGATAAAATATTTCAGAAGTCAAAATGGACCGTTTATTTAGATGAAACATATATACACAGCGGACATACTTCTTCCAAGAATTAGACAGACGATTCAACAAAAGGTTTGTTTTCTGTTATTTCTAAAGGTCAAAGGCTTATTATAGTTCACGGTGGGATGGAAATGGGTTTTATCAAAAATAGTTTGTTGATATTCAAATCAGGGACCAAGTCTGGAGATTATCATTCCGAAATGAATTCGAAAAATTACGGCAAATGGTTAAGAGAAAAGTTAATACCTAATCTTCCACCTAATTCAGTAATTGTTTGTGATAGTTATCACAATGTACAGACAAATCGAGCACCTAATTCCAATTCTTTAAAGAATGATATGATCAAATGGTTGACAAAATACAACATACATTTTAATCCAACAAGTTTGAAACCAGAGTTCTATGAACTGATTAAATCTCATAAGGACCGACATCTAACATATGCATTTGATGAGTTGTGTCGAGAATACGGCCACACCGCTTAACGGTTACCCCCATATCACCCCAACTTGAACCCTATCGAAGTGTTTTGAGCAACTATTAAGAATAATGTCAGTCAAAGGAATGTTACCTTTAAATTACAAGACGTAAAACAATTAGCAGAAGAGGAATTTAACAAAATCGGTATGGAGGAATGGAAAAAGCGATGCGATCATGTTATAGAGGTAGAAGATAAATGTTTTGAAAGAGAAATACAAACTGATTTATGATCGGAAATTAATCCTATCGTCATTAATCCTAATGAGGATTCCAGTAACGAAAAATCTGACGAAGACATTATTTATTTGTGATTTACTGTTTACGTTGTTTGTATTTACTTATAGGCTATATAATATAAAATTAAACATGTTTTTGTTTTTCTTAAATTTACGTAAAATCAGAAGTTATTTGGACTATCCAATTTTGAAATGAAGACCCGGTATAAAAAAATCGGAAGGATATATTACTTCATACACATATTATTTCATATTTTGCTCATAAAAAAATTAATGTCAGTTAAAATACAAAATACTAGACCACCAGAGCTCTCCTTAACCTAAAGTCGGCTTATCTAAAAATAAAGATTTTTTAATTGACAATTAATTAACTATTATTAATTATGTACTAATAATAACACTAAGCAATATGTATGAACAAGTATCATTCACTATTTTTCATTTATTTTATGTCTTAAAATATACGCGCCCCTGGTTTACAACTTTCTAGGTAAGCTACCAATTATATTCATCGGTAGGCGTGTTCTTAGCATTATAAATGCGCGTCCTTGTTTCTTTAGATTTGGCGTTTACTGTATCATTGAGTAATCAATCCTAGAGAACACCGATACTAAGGAGGCGATTAGGAGGCTAAGTCGATACTTAAAAAAGAAAGAAGTAGAAAAAAGAAATAAACAAACACAGTTATAATAGATATAGGAACGAACCAACAAAGTTCGCAAAGACTAAAAAAAAATCAACATGTCCAACCAGCATCCAGAAGAATGTACTAGAAGACGATGCAAGAATGTTGGATCAGAGGAAGGATTTTAGTGGGCAGACCGGTTCACCCTCCTAGGTGCGATTGAAAGAAGCACCTGTGTTCCATGAGGATTCCCCTCCAACAAAAAAAAGGTGCAAATGGACTTAAAAATTGAGTGGTGGGAGGAATAAAAAGAGGTATAAGAAGCTCCATATTCCCACTACTTCGATTAGAGTTGATTGCCTACTCAAAGGTCTGAGGTGTAAATCAGTTTCTGTTAACATTGTAGACCATGCAGCGAAGGATGAAGCATAGGGGCGGATAGAAGGGTTCTGATCCAGTGTAACAGGATGGGAACTTAAGCCAGTAATTGATTGTGTATTTCAATTCTCCAAATGCAGTTTTCTGCACTATAATGTTAGTTTAGCGCCATCTTGCTACGAAGTACTCCAATATGTATTTTGTATGCTCAAGGTATGAGACAATGCTTCGCAATGATGTGCATCTTTAGATTGTGTTTAAAGTTGAACTTCCTATTACATTTGATGCATTCGAAACTCGGATTCTTCTGACACTCGTATTTCTGATGTCGTTGTACGGAACTTTTCCGTTGGTATTTCTTGTTACATTCACGACATACAAAATAACCATTTATTTCGTAGAAGGTTATGTCTACAAAAATACAGTTATTACCAATTTATTTAAAACAATAGTATGGGCAACAAGAGTGGATATAATGGCCATATCGCACAAAGACTAGGCAGAGTGCTCAATCATCTGAGTGCGATATGGACAATCCACCCGAAATGTACAGCATATTTTTTCTACGACCCACGAAAACCTACAAATATTAAAAGTTATTTTAGGTTATTAAACTAAAATACCTAATTTAAAAATAATTTATGACTTTCACTAATTTATAAAATACAATAATTTGTCCCCTATGAGATTCGAACTAGAAACCTTGCGCATGGACCACCACCATCTATACGGTTAATACGTTTACTTTAATACTTGTAAATTAATTGACTTCATATAGTTCTATGTAAATTAACAAATTATTTATAAGTATAGACGAAATAAAAATCGAAATCGATTCTACAAAAGAATAACTTATTTTAATGTATATTTAATCTCAATAACTAAAAAATATACTGACAATTAGTTTGACAGAATTGTCACTTATTTAAAATTTTAAAAATAATAGTCGGTTGACCAAAATATGAACTGTAATTGGTGGATTTAATTTTTTGTAGTGTTCTCACTACCTGGAACGCAATAGTTTTGTAGTATGTGCGTAGATAAGCTAATATCCATGTGGGTGTAGAAAAAATATAGTAATGTCCCATTTGGGTTAAGTTGATTTACTTTACAAAAATGGAATGACCGTCTGATTTTATAAGGTACGTTTTGTTGATAATATGTTATTAAATATAGATCATGTTCAAAGATTTATCGAGCAAATTGTTAAATTTTATACATAACCTCTACATCTGCAATGAAGACACATGTTAGTTTCTATATAAAATTATATATTATTTTTGGAATAAGATATTATGCTTTACTATATTTAAATATATTAAATAAGATTTTTCCTTTTCATATTAATTTTAGTCTCTGTGAAATTATTCATTTAATAGTTAAAGCATTTTATCTAAATCCTTTTCAAATTTCCCTTCATCTATCATAACATTTTAACCCTTTTTAGCATATGTCAATCTCTAGACGGTTCAGGTTTGAATACAAATAAGAATCATTTATTTTGAAGATCACTCACGGTTTAATCACGAATAGGAGTCACAAATGAGAGTTATGAATCACTTGGTTGAAGTTGCCTGACCGGTATGTAATGTTTAAGGATTGATATACCTCTGCAGTTTGGGGCGAAGGAAGAAATACCTGATTTTTACCTTTAACTTACCATACCGTATATTACCTTCTACTACACAGATAAGTGTAATGATCTAATCAATAAATTGTTTGAAAAATTAATGTACATTATAATGGTCAACCCTCTAAACAATAAATTAAGAAAGTTGCCAAAGAATACTCGTAAATACCCAGATAATACTCGAGAATACCTCGCAATACCCGGAAATAAATATAGAATACCTAAGAGGTGTAAACAAGAATACCCAAAGTATTTAACCCTCGTGAACACGTGTATACACATAAAAATAACCAAAGAGGAAAAGTTTCAAAAGGGATGCAAAAAATAAATCAACATACTGATAATTTATTTCAGCATCATTTATTGCAGGTATTTAGAAGAAAAAACGAAATATACCTATTTTAACTTTTAATATGGTGCAATCACTGTTCATGAAACTTTCTAAAACATGGCATCAAACACAAACCAGGTTTATCGGAACATTGGGGACATAAATAAAGGGAAGCTTTCCTGACCTTCTTAGTCCTCCAACAATATCTACACCGTCGTCTTTTGGTATGTCCTTTGGCATCTTTTGGACAGTACTCCGGTAGATGGTTGACGAGCTTCTGACCCTCCAGCTTATTTGATTGCGAACCTATTAACAATATTTTATTTAATAATGAACTCTAAAATTATACAGGTTGTTCTTTCTTACAAATTCTATGATAATAATACATATTTTACATAATAAAGTGGACTGTATTGAGTTAATTAAATATACATATATTACTTAGTGTTCCTAGAGCAGGACTACGAATTTTTGTAAGTTTTTAATTACCAACTGCTTGCTAGAACTGACATCTTGTCTTCTTTGACAATCCATAAAAAGCTTGGAGTATCCCTAGATATATTTTGTACTAGTTCAAAAGAAACAGAGTAAATTCATAATAAAAATTAGTATTTGAATTAACATATTGTTACCCTGCACCATGCAGTAGCCTACTGCTTTTATAGATAACGTGCAAGTTCAAAAAGAAGTACAATGTCACCCATCACCCTAAAGTGTGTTGCGGTCGTCATAAGTAAAAGTACAAGTAAACCAATAAATGTAATTAATTCCTTGTCAAGAAAAATCCGGATAGTTCGAGAAGGTTCTAGAAGGTCAAGGCGAGCTATATAAGTCGATGATCCTAACATCATGCTTTCAGTTTTATGATAAACGTTATACTTTCTGTTATTCTGTTATATAGTTGCATTGTAAAATTGAGTTGAAATAAATTAAATTACCAAAAACCTGCGTAACATTGGTGACAGCGGTGGGATACAAAATAGAAGTTCCTGGTAAATACTAGATCCATTGAGTAAGAAACGCATGGATACTTCCCAGGTTCCCCAGCATAATTTTTGAAGATTAAGGAGGAAAAAAGGAGAGAAGAAAAAAGGAGAGAAGAAAAGACGCAGGAAGGACGAAAAGGAGGTAAAGGAAAGACGTAGGAATGAACAAGAGAAAGAAAAGGAAAGACGCAGAAAGGAAGAAGAGGAGAAAAAGGAAAGGTGCAGAAAGAACGAAGAAAAGAAAGAGGAGAGACGTAAAAAAGCTGACGTAGAAATTATGAATGGTTTGTTGCAAATTCAAGAAAACCTTAAGCAAGAGAAAGATCAACTAAACAGCCAAGTAGACCTCTTAGCACAGCAAAAAGATAATTTAAAGGCCAATTTAGAACAGCAGCAAGAGAATCTAAAAACTAATTTAGAAAACTTATAAACGAATTTAGAACAACAAGAGAATTAAAAAACTAATTTAGAGCAACAACAAGATAATTTAAAGACTAATTTGGAACATCAACAAAAAAAAATTTAGAAGCTAATTTAGAGAAACAGCAAGATATTTGGAAAGCTAATTTAGAACCACATGCCAATATCTTTCAATGTTCGTCTCTGAAAATCAAAAAGGTTCTGAACATGAATCAACCAGTTATACTCCATCTATAATGATTACTGGAAGGGAGATGATCTTCTTTTTGGAAGGCAGCCTCCTGTTGAAGAAGAGGGCCGTACACCTTCCACATACATACAGAACTTAAGAGAAAGATTAGAGAAGGTATACGAATTCGCTAGGCTACGTTTGCGAGTTAATAGTGATAAAGCAAAAACTAGAATCGACATGCATGCCACAGGGACACATCGACGATCCAGTATAGCTGTTCAATCCCAAGCGTCGAAAAAGACTCTAGTTGTATGGAACTGGGAAGGCCCTTATACCATCCTCAAGAAAATCAACGCTGATCTACCGCATTCAGTTGTCAGCGAGAAGTAAACCCGAGGTATGTCACAAAGTTAGTGCCATACCGTGGTCCAGATCCACCCCGTTGGCTCCAACCAGATCCCAGTATTCAAGTTGTTGAATTTTGACTGTTTTAATTAAGTAATTAACTGTACACTATTTTTTAAAAGGTTTAATAAAGAAAAATAAACTGTAACAACTTATTACAAAAGGTATAATAAACAATTAATTACTCGTTCGCTGACATAATGAACACTGACTCAAAGTAATTTTTAATGACACTTTTCACATCACTGTGTTGAGTCTTGATTTGTAACGATGCCACGATTAAGTGTCTTTTGGGATAAATCCTATTTCCTTGAGGGACGGAACATCCCGTCAGACTTGAATATCTCTGGATTTATTACTTGATATCGATGGGAAGCAAACAGAGCTTCTGTACTGCCCTCTCGAATATTCCTGTAGTTGTCTTTGCCGTGCAGACTCGAATAAGGCCATCAGATGATGGATGAACTTGCGTAATAGAGGTGGAGCTTCCTCATCAACGAGCAAGACTAACGAACCTAGTTTCAACTGAAATAGTAGGTTCATGCCACTTGGTACGTGTCTGTAATGTATGTAGGTATTCGATGGACCAACGCTTCCAAAAACGCTGAGTAGCATCTTGAAGAGTCTGGTATTGATTAAGCCGATTTGCGGGTAAGTGGGATAGGTTGGCTTGGGGAATAGATGTGAGGCAACTTCCAACAAGGAAATGACTTGGAGTTAAGGCCTGGTAATCATCAGCATCACTGGTAAGGAGGGTTAGTGGTCGCGAGTTTAATACACAAGTTATTTGGGACGAATAATTAAAGAAGAAAGAACAATGTTACCCTGCAGTAGCCTGCCACTGTTATAAAAACGTGAGAATTCAAAAAGAAGTGCAATGTCACGCATCACCCTAAAGTGTGCTGCGGTCGTCGCAAGTAAAACTACGAGTAAAACAATAAGAAATGTCTGGAAATGTCATTCCTTGTCAAGGAAAATCAGGATAGTTCAAGAAGGTTCTAGAAGGTTAAGGCGAGCTATAAAGTCGATGATCCTAACGAATGTTATTCAGTTATAAATTGAGTTGCCAAAAACCTGCGTAACAATATTAATATTATATTTTGCGAGCCATATGTATGTATTAAATTTTTATTTAGCGCTTTTGGGAAAAACGTAAAATAGATCGGTTTTTATTCTTAATTTGACAATTTTTAGTATAAAGATATTGCCCTTTCTTGCACGTCCTCTGAATTATGAGTACCCCTTCAAAAAATTTTAAATAAAAAAGGGAGTTGTGAGGCACCTTGTTTGAAAGGGGTCTTAATTTTCTCTTCATTAATATAAAGTTTTTTTTTTTAATTTGGTGCAATCATAACTTTGCTTCATTATAACTAAAGTTTTGTGAATTAATTGAATGCACCAAATTTAAAAAACGTTATATTGCAAAAGAGAGAATTAAAATATCTT